GGCTAAGGCAAAAGTCTCACGACGCTCTACCTTGTGCCAGGGTGAAGCGGCGTTTAAAGTTAAGGGCTTGCATCCTTGTTGCACCTTTTTGATCCCAAACGGGTTGATCACCTTCACGGGCTCAGCTTGAGGGACACCTTCAAGTAACCACATCTCATGACACAACCTGTAGCCGCCGCTGGGCGCATCTTGCCCAGTTTCTCGGGCGCAAAGAATGCACAGGGCTGCAGTCGGCACAAGCAGTGATGTGAGGGAACCTCCCCTCTAGGCCCGGAATCCAGCTACAAATCACGCTTCATATGCGCCTTGGCACGGGTGCTCGAGTTCAGGTTCCGGCGTGTGAGTGCGAGTATCTGATGTGAACATCAGCAATTTTGTTTCTACCTGCAAGTGGCTGAGGCTGCCCCTGGCAGAACTTGACTAAGGGTCTTTTGCGAAACTTAGTTGCTTCATGGTTAACCGCTTGGGCTCGAAGAAGCACAAACTCAGGCTTGACATGTTTTGCAGCAGTGCTAAGAACTGCTACTAATTTGAACAACGACTTGCAGAATCCACAGGTCACGTATGAGAGACTGAGCGGCCCATCAGAGATTTCACACCCGCGACGGCTTGTTGGCCCGCCGAAACCCTTTTTCGGCAATGCCGACCAACAGGCCACGCAAACACGGCGTTCTGTAAAGTGCGACTGCGCCTGCCCAGACCAAGCAACGCGGATGATTCCAAGATTCCATGCCGACCCCCTGTTCCAGCACTGAAGTGCCGCCAAAACACAGAGATTGCAATTACTCGAGGCTTTTCAGGATTTCCAGAATGCTTGATGTATACAGTGCGCTGCGCCCGTGTTTCCCAAAGTTTGCCAACAGCAGTGCAAATTGCAGATTCTGAAGCGCGGAACCTCTGTCGCTGGCATGAGCGGCTGTTTGTGTTTCTTTCAGACTGGGTGGTGCAAGCCTGGGTGGTCAACAACGCAAGCGGGCCAAACCAGCATTCGCAGGTGTGAAGTTTGCCACCCGCGCGGTCTCTCATATCTGGCATGGGCAGCTGAGCAGCACACACGCTGCTCATTGCACCTAAAATGATGCTGTCTGACGCTCACCTACGGTTGAATGTGACTCTCACAATCGGCAACGTGTCAAACAAATCGTCTTACCTTGCAAGTGGACAACTGCCACTCAATTGCAGTGATGAGAGCATGCTTGCATTCTATGGCAGGGCCTTTTGGTCTCTAAAGCTTTGGATTCCGCAAGCAACACAGGTGCTACACCTTTCCTTGCATGTTTGTGTCAAGACCTGCCAAGCGATGCCGTCTTGCTGGCACCCTGCCGCAATTTCAAAAGATCCTTTCAAGGGCATGCCTAGACCAGCCAAGGGTACATTTCTTGGGCGACTGTCCGCAAAAAACCCTGCATTTCCTTGAAATCCATCCATTTGAGCAAGAACAGTACTTTTGTTGCGGGCGCAATAAAAGACATGGGAGCATTCAACTACTTTTTTCTGCAAGAATCTCACGTTCAGCTCCGGCCCTGGCACTGGAGATTGTCATGCTCATGGGCCGAAAAACCCAATTGAATGTGTGCAATTCACCAAGGACAAAAGGTGCGTATTTCCCCAAGCAAATGCTCCGCTGATTTCCTTACTTTTTCCTCAGATTTATTTACTTTTCCCGCTGATTTCCGTACTCCTCCCGCCGATTTCCGTGCATTTCCTGCCGATTTCTGTGCACTTCCGGCTTCTAAGTATGACGGGCCATGTAAATTGCAAACTGTGTTCATGTGCATCCAGGAACACCAGAAACGCTCACAGCCTGCCAAAGGCGATTTCCGTCAAACTTCCTCAAAAATGTTCATGCATGATGTTTTCGAACCTGTACGGACATTTCAGTACTTTCGGAGGGTGCAGGTGTCCCTTCAACAAGCTCTTTGTAGGCGTGCTATGCGTACCCCGAGGAAAACTGACACTGCGGCCGTTGAAAATTGGACTTCGCAGGCCAGCAACGCTGAGCGTTCGAGAAGCGAGCAAGAGACGGCATGCGCGAGCGCACCGGCCACAGCGACACCACAGCGGCGCCCGCGTGCGCGAGCCTTCGGCAGAATCTAGCAACCTCATAGGCCGCAGTCGCACAAGCCGGCCGGCCGCAAACGCCTTGACGACTTCCCCTTCGCTGGAAGACGTCTGGCTCCGCAGTGCTGTGACACGATCGCAAGTTGCCCGGCAATCGCCAAACTGCGCAGATGCTGCTCGTACATACAACTCACCAGTCAGGAACATATGAAACAAAGCGCCCTTTGAGCGCACTGTCTTATCTCGCGAGCGGGCAACTGCCAATTGCACTGGGAAGCCCAGGACATCACAAAGTCCAATGTATGCATTCTATGGTGAAGCTTTAGGTTTTGCAAGCCAAATGGGTGCTGCCAATGCATTTCGTTCGGAAACGCAATGCGCTCCCCGCACTCATACCCTGCGGCAGAACGCTCTTGGACTGCCGCCCCGTCTCAAAAGCAGCGCAAACACCGAGGATAGGACCAAAAGCCATGCGTCCGCAATTTGCGCCACGCCGTGTCCAGAACATCACCAAGCCAATGCCTGTGTCCTATGGGGAAAAAGTCCGGTTGCATGCTACATGCATGCCGAAATCATTCATTGCATGTGTCAAGATCTGAGTGATCCGTACGCTCAATTTCTTGCCACAAACCATTTGAGGATGGAAAGAGCGCCACGCAGGGCAATGAAACTGCGGGGCCGTCTCCTCTTGAGTCGCACTCTCCCACAAACTGCACTTCGCAAACGCTTGCGACTCGCCACTCAGCATGTCCAGAGCGCCCTTTGCGAGCCACTGAGGAGAGGATTGTCATCACGAAGTCCACGCCGTTGTATGCTGAATTTTTGGTTGCAAGCTACAGCAATGCTGTCACTTTTGTCACGATCTGCAAAGTGATGCGACGCTCTTTGCTGCGAGCTCAGACCCTGCCGCAGTTCCCTAAACACAGCTTTCCAAGAGTACACATGCTCCCTTCAGGCTCAGGACACTCTGGTGACTGGCCACAATTAACACGTCCAATGAAGCGCTGGTTGCGCCCCGCAGCCTCTTGCAAGCGAACTGCCACCAATTGCAGTGAGAGGGCTGAGGACATCACAGAGTCCATGCGTGCATATGGCGAAGCTTCGATTTCTGCAAGCTGCGCCGATGCTGCAAGCCTTCGGTTTCTTTACATTGCGTCAAGACTTGCGTGATGCGACACTCTCTCACTTGCGCTCACACCTTACCACAATTGCTTAAGCAAGGCATGCCAAAGGGGTGCGTGTTAGGGCGTTCTTGCGCAATCCAGTCATAGTAACTCAGCAGTTGCTGAGTCGGAGCTTTGAAAGGTCTGACAGAGCCTTCCGGCTGCGCCAGCATCTGGTGGCAGACAGGCAAGCGCCCCAGGCTTGACGGACAGTGTTTCGTGCACGTCGTCAGGCAATGCCAGCGTGAGGCTGATGTCTTGAAACTCAAGGCTCGGTTTGTCCTTGAATAGTCTTGACTCCAATATTGCAGTCATCAACTAATTGATCCTATATTGCGACCATCCTGGCACCTCCCCTATCTCCAGCCGCAGCTTTTCGCTGCACCATCCTCGGCCCCCAAAACCGCGCGGCGCAATTGAACGCTTGCAAACGGCTTTGCGACATGGCCAACGCTGACAACTTTTCGCAACAAACGCGGCAAGCAATTCGCTCGACAGAAGCAAGTCCAACATCTGTCTGAGGAAGCCTCAAGCAAAGAACCCACCCCCAGCATACGCCAAATCAAGGTCTAACTGTGGCTTCAAGCAAAACGCGCAGAAGGAAGGCCAAACGCAAAAAAGAACACATACAAAAACCGGACGGTCAAAATTCACATCCGAAACTCATCCAATTCAATCCCTTACCATACGATCAATCTTTATTAAGGTGAGATTGCTGTCCGCACCAATACTTCACCAGCAATCAAGAAGGGGTCACTGGATTTCCTTTCAAAAGTTGCAACTTACAGGTGGCGTCCATTGAAACTCCAACTCTTGCAGGTTCCAAAAGGGACATGGAGGAAACTCAGTCAAGAAAGCCATCTTCAACAAGGCCACCGGCATTTCGGCGCCAAGAGCTGCATGGTCCATCATCACTTGAGTCATGAGTTCCTTTGGGGGGTGGGCAAAGGGGTCTACGGCACCCTCAAAGCAGCACAAGGAAATTAAAGGAAGCCAAGGAAAGCCAGAGAATCACTAAAGAAAGCCAAAGGAAGCTACAGGAACGTAAAAGAAAGTAAAGAAAGCAAAGAAGTTGAGGCTTGTTTGCATTTTTGTTTGTTTTTTTTTGTGTGTGTGTGTTCTGTAGATGAAATCTGCGCGGTCCAGTGGTATGCTTAGCTCGTACAATCTACAGCGTTCCTGGTGTGTGAGCGAAACTCTGCTCTCAGCCCGTCCAACTGTTTTCCAGAATAGGGCACCCCAATACCGATACTAGTAGGGCACCCCAATTGCCGGAGGTGTGCGCTTTTTGTCGCATGGAAGCAATAGGCGAGAGCGCCGTATGGCCAGTTCTGCCAAGTGCAGAACTGGAAAAGCTGCCTACATCGCACGATCTGTCTTGACCAGTCCTGGTCGAGACTCCGTGCAACGCACAAGCCCGACAAGTCGAGCATTCAACATGTTACGCTGAACCTTCACCACTTGGGAGTTTGTTTCATTTTAGCCGTAACAGTGGTCCCGATCTCTTGGACACCATATGAACCCGAAACATTCCGGCATGGCGTTCTCAGGCAACCCCGAAACTGCTGGAAGAGCCCGGGTGACATTGGCCACAGGCCTCGGGACTCTTCCGTCTTGGGTCTGCCTAGCGGTTTTCAAGGGTCTTCAACTTTCGGACCGGCCGTGGGTTGAAAAAAGGCACCCGGTTTCTCACCTTGATTCCACGGGGGCTCGCCCCCACACGCCGAAAAGGGACAAGGAGCAACCCGCTGGAGCTTCGGAGCTTCGGACGCTCGCTCAGGCAAGTCCAGTGGACATTGATGCCCTGGAAGGCCGCGGGATGGAAGGCACCAAAACAAGGAGACCCCCGAATCAAAGAAGCGCGTGCCCCCCCTTCCATGTACTTAGCTCCTCTTCAGTACATGTTCCCTTCCAGAACCGGCTGAGAAAAGTTGGACCCTTGCAACTGGTCCTCACCCTCCCACCTCTACCCAACATGGAACCCCTAAAAGGTCTCTGCAACCAATTGGAAAGGAAGCCTTTGCGGCGTCCTTTCCAAACCGACCCGAACAGTGGCTAACATGTTTGTAACCTTGAGTGAACAATGTGTGCCAAACATGTGAATTCCAGAAGGTCTTAAACACATCGATTCGCGTTGGGCAGGCAAACGGCTCTGCCCGGTCCCATATATGTCCAAACCGAACATTGCACCATTTACCGCAGAAAACCATTTCAATGGTCATAATCAATGGCTAGCCCTTCGGAGGGACCCATCTTGAACAACATGCGATTCCATTGACGCCCGAAACAAGCTCCTACGCTTAATTTGAGCAACAGCATTTCAGTGGTGGGGGAAAGCATGAAAACACGTCTTCGTCAATTTGGAGACATGGATTCTTGAGTGGATGGGCCAAGTAAGTATTTATGTATTTAGCTCGCCTCTAAGATGGCCTTCCCATACACTACCAAGTCAAGGAAACGCGCCTACTCTTAAGCCGAAAACTCTTAAGTCTATGGTGTCAACTGCCAACCTCGATGGCTCGGCATTTTGAACCCATTCTTCGAGCTGAAGAATCCTTGCTGGTTCTCAGGGAAGGGAACGACCTGCATGAACCACCCATGGCTTCCTGATGTTTCCTGGGGAATCCCCAAGCGGTTCATTCCCAAAGCCCGGACTCGGTCATTCCCTACCTGTCGCAGCTCAAGAAACAGGGGCCCAAGCCTTGGAGTTTCTCCAACCGCTCGATCCCCCCCGCCCTTTTGCCACACCCCACCATGGCCCTTGCTATGGTTGAAAAAATAAATTCACGGAACGCATTGGAACGCACGGATTTGCAGCATGTCTTTTTTTGGCCGGGGCATCTGCTGTGGCAATGGAAGCGCCGCTGCCCTGGCTTGAACGAGCTTATTCAACTTATTCAAATGACTAGCACTGGCTCTGGATAAACCAGCCAAGTAGACGTAGACCTGAGAACCGATGTGAACAAACCGGGGATACTGATGGAACAAATCTAGGCGGATCGGCACCAGTTGGATGAACCCCTGTGAGATGGGATAAAGGACCAAATAACAAGGTTCACCTTTGGGGGCCACTAAAAAATGAGTGCCAAAAAGGGGAAACTGAAAGGCCAAAACGGTCGATACTCTTGGGGACAGTTCAGATCCACTCGTTTCGCTTTGGGCAAAGTGTGAGTTCACCCACCTATCCTCCGTTAAACTAAGTCCCCTGGAAACAACAATGTAGTGATAAATTGACCCCCTTTGAATCCAGAAGGAACACATAAACAGCACATATGGCAAGTAGAAGTACTGTCCAAAATCCATTTCGCCCCAGTTGAGATGGACGAAACATGAGAACCCTGTGAATTCTGGGATTTCTATGGATTCGGGTGAGCCACTTCCTAGTGGTGCGAAGTGGATTTTCTCCAATAACTTGCTTTGTATCCACTGGCTCGGGAATGAGACATGGAATGACCCCGGGGGGAAAAAAAACAACAACAACATCCCTGCTGCTTTTCCGGGGGTCGTTCTAGTTTCCTGTGCTTTTTCTTTTTTCTGCGGGAGCATTCCTGTCCGTCCGCGCTCCGCGCTCGCGCCAGTCGCGCCAGTCGCGCCAGTCGCGCCAGTCGCGCCAGTCGCGCCATCGCCGAGCGGCGTGAAGTAAAAGGCGAGGTCCACCTCCAGGCGGTTGGCGCCTCGGGACCGGGCCGTAAGAGATTCACTTGGCGGGTGTCAAAAAAAATCGGGTCACCCCAAAATGGCTTGATTCACTTATAAGAAAACCAACAGAAAAGAGATTCACTGAAGAAAAGAGCAACAGGGGAAAAGACAGAACACTTGGCTGTGGGTCAAAAATAGGGCAACCCCAAAATGGCACCCTGGTAAGAAACAACGACAACCTGTGGTTTTCTGGTGGTTTAATTTTGACCCATACCCACTCAAGAAAAACAACAGGGGAAAAGACTGAATATGTTTTTTCAGCAAATGGAAGCTTGATGGTCTGCGGTAAAATCAGGTGTACCTGTAGTTGATGGTCTGGGTCTGGGTCTGGGTGTATCAGTTCGCCCTGGATTGGTGGTTTCGGATTGGTGGGCTGGAGGAAATGGGCCTGGGCTTGGTGAGATGGTCTGCTAGCCTGGTTTTCGTGGCCCTGCTGCCCAGTGACCCTTGTAATTAACCTGGCGACCCACTAAGCAATTTCAAAAGCAAAAACTAACGAGAAACACCGAGAAGAGGTGCCGTTGACGAACTAGTTGGTGAGGTTGCGTTTTGGATATCACCTAAGGGGCAGTTGGCAAGGGTCGCGAGAGTCAGGGCTGCCCTTCCTGAATCCTATTGTTCAAACGCCTAGCGCACCTTCACAGAAATCCATGTCGACTTTTAGGGCATGCCTGTTTCACGTTCGGACGCTCTGAGGGCGCTCTTTTACGCTTGTTCGTACGAAGAAGAAAAAGAAAAAAAGGAGATGGGTCCCTGAAGGTGTCGAAGTGATTGCTGAAAGGGGGCCTGTATCTCGCCAACAAATATGGAGAGACCAAACCCTGCGCCAGTTGGGATGGATGAGGCCCTAGAAACTGGGATAGATCACCTACCATCTGGTGAGTGACGTTTCAAAAGTCTCCCAAACTGGGCAGCTCGCGGAGGAAAAACCGCGTTCGCTTTGCAAATCGCAAACCGAGCTTTCACCTGCACTCACAGCAACCAAATGTGGGTGCATAAAGGGAGTTGCAAAAATGGTACACACTCAGGTGAAAGTAGACCACATGAATTCCCCAAACAGGTTGCATGAATCATGCACTTGAGCGACATAAAGCGAGTTGTGCCATCTACGTTCTGCCAACCTAACTAAGGAATCGCGGCGACCAATACTATGAGTTTCAAACAGAATGCTGGAACCTGTCATGGGCGAGCTTGTTGCTTTTTTACCCGCACGCTCTAACTTGTGCAAGGAATCTCGTAAAGGAATTATGGAGTTTTGACCATCCGAATCTCTGATTGGCATTTGTTCCCCTGGCCAGGCACTTAGGCTCTTGTGGCCGGGGGGCAAGTCTAGAACCGCTACCGCTTGCCACCCACTCAGGTCGGTTTCTTTTCTTTAGCCGCTTGCTTCTTCACACACACACACACACCACTTGCAAAGCCTTTCAGAGCCAGGGAACGCAAATTGCGTGGCTACAATATCGGCTGCAATAGCTATGTATGCAAATTGGGGGAAATCAAAAAGCGATCTCAGGCTCCGACCATTGTTGCCGAAGCCCTTGTTCACCTCAGAATCAGATGGCCATGCTCTAAACAACTCACTTCCGATCGAGTGGATGGGCCAAAAGAAGAGGCCCCAAAACTGTTTGTTTGCCACTAGAATGGTCCAATCCCAAAAAGTGACTAAAGTCCAGGAACCCAGGAAGTGAGACACACAGGCGACCTCTGCCCCACCGGCGAAGAAATCCAGGCAGCTTGACGAACCACATGCGAAGTGGACCGAAACAGCCGTCCAGCCCGGAAGCAGCGCTGTGCAGGAGGTGTTTTGCAGCACCCGCATTCGATGGCTAAAGAATCGCAGTCTAAACTGAGTCCTCCCCGTTTCATATGGTCGTCCTCCCCGTGTTCTGTCTTAAAAGGCAACAGATTTTGAGGAGCAAGTCCAACCTCGCACAACCCCCTTAATATATGTGGCTGAAGGGGAGAAAAACAACATGGGATAGAATTGCGCCATCTTTCAACAACTGCACCCTATGGATCGGGAAGCCTGTTTCTGACAACTACTGACGTCAGATGTCGATTTCGGCGTCGCTAAGCAAGTACCTGCCTGGGGCCATTTTGCCAGCATGTGTTCGGCGCCTCTTCTCGCTCTTCTTGGGTTCCATGTGAATGATTTGCAGGGAGCGGCATACACCACCCCTGTAGGAAGCAACTCGGGGGAGTTCTAATAGCAGTGCACGAACCTGAAGCGAGGTACCCGAATGAAAGGAATGAAACCATGAGAAGCCGGTCAAATTGATGTTGCGAGCTCTTTGTCTTGGTTCCTATGTCCCTGATTGGGCGGTTCAAGTCCTCAAGCAGTACGCCAAGTACACCGTTCAGCTGATGTTGCATGTCCCTACTGCAATGGTCTGGGGTAAGCTGCAAAGGAGCAGCCATACATAGTTGGATTGATCATAGGATCGCCGCCCCCAGCCGAGCCATCTCCGCTAACGCCTCGCCCACCCGTTTCCTCAAGGTAAGGCCCTAACCAAAGGAAGGGGATCCAGTGATGGAAGCTCATTACAACTATCCAGCGGGTTGCGGGCCAAGGCACTGCGAGAGAGCCCTCGACCTTGCGGCGTGAACAGTTTCAATCATTCCCGAAAGAAATAGGATCGACACTTCCAATCAACTGATCCTCGTCGGTTTGCAGAGGAGTGTTTCGCGTCCCTACACTCCACGCCTGCAAGCCGAAAGCAACCTCCGCCGAAGTCTCACACCTTCATGAGTCCTTCTCTTGGTTCAAAATTGGCTTACGTGCTGATAATAGCTGGTGGATCCACGCTGATCTACGCCAGGAAGAGTACTGAAACGCATTAAAGCACTGGAAGCAGCCAGTGTCAAAGGCTCACTCGATGTATAGAACGCTTGGGATGAAACCGTAGTGTATTGGCTCAATACTTGCTAATTGCCTTGTTGTAGGAAACCTGCCTCCAAAAGAGTCATATATGAGCAACTGTCCATCATTCCTAGCACCTGTGACATCGCAAGGTGAAGACCCACGCAGTACCCAGAAGCTCTGCCAAGAAAGAAGCATTGCGGTTCAACATTCCGGGAACCCTCAGATAAGGGCGTTCCTTGTCATTCCCCTGTCAAACCCTTCGAACATGGGGTGACCCTCGGAAACGTCTCCCAGCACCTCGGAAGGAGGTTGGCAACAGAGTGATGGTTCATTTCCCTCTGCTTTCCCTTGGTCCATTGAAAATTCTGACCCGGGGAGGTAGAGGGTACCCGAAACATGGATTGTTCCAACAAAAGTAGTCGGGGTAGTGTGCCCCTCCCAAAAAGAACGTCTTCTCCGCCCCATGAGGAAACTGGGCGTGAATTGGCAAACGATCCATAGAAACGAGGATGTTCTGGAAACTGGCCAAATACCCAACAAAAATCAGGATCCTGTAAAATTTTGCACCTGGCTTCTTACAGGGGTCACTGGATTTGCCCTTCAAAAGTTGCAAAGCCCCGGTGGCTTCCACTTGGAGTTAAAAGGGAAATGGCTGGGAACCAGAGTGATGTTTGCAAAACAACGAGATTTCAGGGAACCACTCCCTCCATTGGCTTTTCCGCCTGCAAAAAGTGAGCACCCTTGCCCAGTAGTGACAGATTCCCTGGAAAATAGAAGCCATGTTCATTCCAGCAAATTGAACATACACATCGGCCCCGCCTTCAGCTGATAGTTCAGCGGCGTCTCGCCCACCTTTTGCTGGCCCATAGCTCCCACCTGTGCTCAGCAAGCTGAACAAGTCCACCCAAACGGAGGAACAACGGGCGCTGGGGAAATGGAAAAACAAGAGCGGGGGGAATGGACAAAAAAACAGTGCAGGACAAACAAAAAAACCTGGGTTAAGCAACTTAGTTGGCAACAACATGAGGGAAAAGGTCTGGCCAGAGCCCGAGAGTTAGAACGCACATGGCCTGACCTCTGAATTGGCGCCTAGATGGACGAGGAATCGCGTGCTTAGCTCTGGCCCTGTACACCCTTGTGACTCGGGTTGCTCTCCTGAGTTGTTCCGCAGATTGAAATGCCTGTTCGTCGGTTTGGCTGCTGAAATGGATTTAATAAGTTTTATGTCTGGAAGTCGTTGATGATGGTTGATGATGGAGGACCCAAGAACCAATGACTTAAGCCCTGTGTAGCTAGCCCCGAAACGGTGGCACAGAACGAAGGGGACAAATGTGACACCTCTCCCAGGATCCCAAGGCCGCTTCCGCTTAGCTCTTGTCTTTCCAAGTTTGGGACAAGAGACGAAGGGCGCTTTAACACACTTCACGCGTGGATTGGCCAAACCCAGTCCAAACTTTTGCTTTCCATCCCCACAAAGACGAGCAAGTCCAGGAACTCAGGGAGTGAGTTGAAGGGGCCCTTTCTGCGGGTCAGATGTCGCAACCTTCTTGAAGGAGAAGCTTCAAAGCCCTGCGGCCTGATCAGGGCTTCATATCACACCCAGCGATACGGGCGGCTGCTTAGAGGACGAGTCAGAAGGATCCATGGAACGAACGCAAAAAAAACACTGCCCGCACCAACAAAAAGCGGAGCGCATCCACAAAACACTGAGGCACTGCATTCTTCAATCGCAGAATCTCACCTCGGAAAATTGAAGAAATCATTGGGCAACTCTCTTTGTTGGGCCCCTAAAAGGTACCCTCCCACCAATGAAGATGGAACCCGACAGGGCCCAGTCCCTTTAAAAGGAACATGGTCCAAACCCCCACCCCCCGAAACCTCAGGTTCCATGTCAATTGGGAGGGTCATATATTCCTATCCTTTTTCCCTGGGCTGCCAAGTGGAAAAGCAAGGGTTCCGCTAGCCCAGCGTCACATGGCATTTGTGAGCACCAGGCAGTGCCCGAAGCGATGGATGTACATGGGTGTGTCTTAACATAGGTGGAAACCCAACAAATGAGAACCTTCTTTGCAACAATCGTGGAAGTGGAAAATGGGGGCCTTCGCCAAAAGGAATATACACTGGGAGGGTAGTTTCCCTTTGGTTTCACCTTAAACCCACTCGAAAACGGGTATCCTCAAAAAAGACCCACCCACATGTGTCAATAGACCTCACTCCCCCCTAGGCACTTGCTTCGGTGAGCCATTTTGTCCACCGACGTGTTTGCCGCGGAAATGATTTAAGTATACATTGCACCTTCTCCTTCTACAAGACCTTTTTGCTAGGGACATGCTATTGCCAATTCGAAACAAATACATTCGAGGGATCACGCTGCCCCCCGAATCCCTGGAAACAGAAAGATGATCTGTTGGGACGCCTGATGCTTCTTCAGCTGTTTTTTCCAGGGTCGGGACTTGCGTGTAGTTGGCATCGCGGCGGAAACCCGAAAACAACAGGTCGGGTCTGGCCAAGAAAGGCCCAGCTCCTGAAAACAGTGTGTCACACACACAAGTTCCGCAAGTTCTTTCCCGACTTTCACGCTTCCAAGTCTGCTGAGTGCTTTTCTTGATCAGAGTTCAAAGGATACATCCAGAAACCTCCAGCCTTTAAAGGTAAGCAAGGCTACTCTCAGGGCTGATCCGGCCTGGTAGTCTTCAACCACCAAGGTCCCATAGGGCGAGTTGGCCTGCGGCTATTTTTCCTCTCACAAGCCCCTGAAAGACAACTTGCCTTTTAAGACCTCCCTGTCAGGTTCCATTTTTTGCCCGCTGAAACCACAAAAACAACTTCTGTGCGTTCTATCGGCATTTTCCCAAACACGAGGAGACACTGATTAGACAAGTCTTCCAAGAAATCTGTGATGGCCACACGTTTGGAGTAAGCTTGGAGGGGTTCCCATTTACCCTTCAGCAGAGACAGGGGATTCAAACTACCAAGCAGGCATTGCCTCAACACACCTGTGTAAACTGCAACCATTTGCAACTCACAAACTGAACACGAGGCTTCCTACGCAAGCGACCTGTCTTGCGGGCAAGCAAATGGCTTAATTTACGATGGATCTGAATCCAAACGGTATCCAACAAAGAGCATCATACCTGCGGCGGTTTTCTATTGTTGTTTGGCAAGATGGGTGACGCAACACGCCTGAATTTGCACAATACCGCTTTTCGGGAAGATGCAGCAGCTTGCAGCGTCATGAATTTTGTTTGGTGCAACTTGCCCTTGACTCTCGGTTGAGTTTATTCTGATTTACCTCGCGTGAGATCCAAGAGTCCCGTCGAGCGGAAAATCGATGGACCCGCGAACACCTGGGCTGAATGAGTGAATGCCATGCCAGCTACTCCAGCCTTGGTCACCCCTGCATGATAGAGCAAGCCATCACAACGACATTGTATGGCATTGTCACTTGCAAAGCGGTAGCAGTGACTCACTTCCCGAGTAGATTCGCCAGCAAAGGTCCTAACTTTTCACTTGAGACTAAAATGGTCCAAACCCCTTTTAAAAAGTGATCAAAGTCCAGGAACTCAGGGAGTAAGGAGCCAAAGCGACCCAAACTGCGACAGGGCGATGCCAATACCTCTTTCAGGTGAGCTAATATCTACGAACTTTCACGAATTTCCGTGTGACATATTTTGTAGTGGACCTTCCAGGGACTCTCGCCCTCCAAAACTCAGTCAACAACGGGGACCCCTGTTTCCGGTATAGCCGACTGACATGAAACTCCCTCCAAAAAGGGTCGGAAAAAAAAAGGGATCGCCCAACTAGTTCGTGACGGCAGCCAAGCGGTGGCCACAGCTCTCCTGAGTGCAGTGGCCATGAGAATATGTGTTGGTTTACCACTGGGCCACACAAATGTAAAGTCCAGAAACTCGGGAAGAAAGAGGGGTACAACAATACCAGATTGAGGGAAGGAATCTCAAACCCATGCATTTGTAGAGGAATCTCCTTTTGGGAAATGGACCTCCGTATTAGGTCCCATGATCATTTGCAGGGGAGTACTTCTGATTGTCCAATGGACCTACCACCCCAAGGTCGAAGAAGCGACAGGTGACACCGTACTCGTGACTTGTGACGCGAGGGGACCATATTTGACTTATTTGCTTTGTCTTTCTGTTCAGGGTACCCTTTTTTTGGAGTGGCTTCAAAGGGAAACCAAAGGCATTTATGATGGTCCCCGGAAAACAAGCCACGCTCAGTTGTTCCTCACAATGGCTCAATTGAGCTAAGGACCTGCGCCTATCTCCCCCCCTTGCCACCGCTAAATCAGAAAATCATGTCAATAGGAATGCCCCATTAAAAAAGACTTGGGCCCCACCCTGAGCTGATGCCCTGATCAGTGTGCTTCTTCAAGCGACGCTGCCGGCGCCGCTTTTGACAAGCAATGCTGCGCTGTGCAATCAAACCACCCGGCCCACTGCTGCACCAGAACGCTCCTTTGGAGGTGCAACTTTCTTGAGCTTGGCTCCGGCACGAATGTCTGCAAGCATGGCGGACTTACCCTGACCCCCCTCCACTTTGGGCGCTGGGGCTTTTGCAGGGCCCCCAGGCTTCTTCGAAGGCGGTGGCGGGGGCGGCGCCTTGCCCTTGCCCTTGCCCTTCCCTTTGCCTTTCCCCTCCTTCGGCACAGGGGGAGGCGGCTTGGCCGCCGGCGCCTGCACCCGCGCCGCCGCTGGAGCGGCCACCGGCGCTGCGGCCACTGGCGCCGGCGCGGGGGCAGGCGCCACTGGGGCCGCGCCACCGGCGCCACCGGCGCCACGGGCGGCGGCACCGACGGCAGCAGCGAGGGCCGCGGCGGCGGAGGCCGCGTCGTCGGCTTGGGCGTCGGCTTGGCCATGGCGCGGCGCGCCAGGTCTGACGGCGCGGCGTCCCAGGCCGGGCGGTCCGTCTCGTTGGTGTCGCCCTCGCGCCACACGATGTGCGCCACATGGCCGAGGTCTGGCAGCACGTCGGGCAGATCGAAGGTGACCTCCAGGATTGGGCCACCCTCTTAGTCACGATGGTTTAAACCGTTAAAACTGCTTGAACAAACCTGTCGACCAAAACTTTGAAACAGAGTTGGGGATTGAAACACGTTTGTTGAAAAGCCCTCCTTTGGGTTCCCCGTTCCCCTTTCTTGGGCCCCCCCCGGTGCTCCGAGCCGGCGCTGACCTCCGCAGCCGCCGAGTTCCGGGGCCGGAAGCGCAGGTCCTCTGTGGCGCGGTCCGGCTCGTCCTCCTCGAGATCTACGGGGCCCAGCTCCACGAAGGTGTCCTGGGGGCCAACCACCCCTGCTGCCAGCCAACCAAGAAACCAAGAAACCAAGAAACCAAGCAAGCAAGCAAAGCAAGCAGACCAACCAAGCAAGCAACCGAGCAACAAATCATAAAAAGCAAACCAACCAAGCAACCAACCAAGTAAGCAAGCAAGCTAACAAGCACACCAAGCAAGCAAGAAAGCAAGCAAGCAAGCAAGCAAGCAAGCAAGCAGGCAGGCAGGCAGGCAGGCAGGCAGGCAAGCAAGCAAGCTAAAAAGCACACCAAGCAAGCAAGCAAGCAAGCAAGCAAGCAACGCAAAGCAAAGCAAAGCAAAGCAAAGCAAAGCAAAGCAAAGCAAAGCAAAGCAAAGCAAGCAAGCTAACAAGCAAACCAAGCAACCAACCAACCAACCAACCAAGCAACCAAGCAACCAAGCAACCAAGCATACAAGCAAACCAACCAAGCAACCAACCAAGCAAGCAGGCAACCAACCAAGCAACCAAGCAACCAAGCATACAAGCAATCCAGCCAAGCAACCAACCAAGCAAGCAACTAAGCAAGCAAACAAGGCAAACCAACCAAGAGAGCAAGCAAGCAACCAACTAACCGAGCAACCAATCAACCAAACAAGCCAAGCAAACTAACCAAGCAACCAACCAAGCAAGCAAGCAAACCAAGCAAACCAACCAACCAACCAACCAACCAACCAACCCACCAACCAACCAACCAAGCAAGCAACCAAGCAAGCAGGCAAACCATCCAACCAAGCAAGCAAGCAAGCAACCGAGCAACCAAGCTACCAAGCATACAAGCAAACCAACCAAGCAACCAAGCAACCAAGCAACCAACCAACCAACCAACCAAGCAACCAAGCAACCAAGCAACCAAGCATACAAGCAAACCAACCAAGCAACCAACCAAGCAAGCAGGCAAACCAACCAAGCAACCCAGCACGCAAGCAAGCAAACCAACCAAGCAAGCAAGCAACCAACCAAGCAACCAAGCAACCAAGCATACAAGCAAACCAACCAAGCAACCAACCAAGCAAGCAGGCAAACCAACCAAGCAACCCAGCAAGCAAGCAAGCAAACTAACCAAGCAACCAACCAAGAAAGCAAGCAAGCAAACCAAGCAAGCCAACCAACCAACCAAACAAGCAACCAACCAAGCAAGCAGGCAAACCAACCAAGCAACCCAGCAAGCAAGCAAGCAAGCAAACCAACCAAGCAAGCAAGCAAGCAAGCATACAAGCAAACCAACCAAGCAACCAACCAAGCAAGCAGGCAAACGAACCAAGCAACCCAGCCAGCAAGCAAGCAAACCAACCAAGCAAGCAAGCAAGCAAGCAACCGAGCAACCAAGCAAGCTAACAAGCACACCAAGCAACCAACCAACCAACCAACCAACCAACCAACCTGGGCCAGCACAGTGGTTGACTCCTGAAGTGGCTTGTGGCTTCCTTGTAGCAGATTACAGTTCCTTGGGAACTCCCAAGGAAACTGGGTTCCATGATAATTCCATCTTTGGAATAGCCCAAGTAAGGAGGCTAAAATAAGGAATTGGGTTTCCTTTGCGCAATTAAACCACCCCTGATGTTGGAATTGTCAGCTTCCAGCTAATTGGTTGGTTGGCTTGGTTTGGAGCGTGGGCAGCTTCTTCTGCACACAAACCTCAAACCCCCAATTGCAGTTTCTTGGTTTTCGTGGAGGGGACGGCAACTCTTGGGAATCACAACATGGCTGTGGAAAGTAACGTTGCGATGCCAAGCCCCCCCTTGGAGGAATGTCTAAAATGATGCAAACCGCAGACCAAACAAAACCATAGAGAACCGCTCCAGGCCATGTCTGTGGAAAATAGCCTTTCCTCTGACAACCGAATGGGCCATTCCTATGACAAGGCTATCACTTTAAAGGAGTTTCCCTTGGTATCACGGTGACCTTTCAGAAAACTAGCTGGCCCAGAGTGGTTTGCACAACACATCTAAACCAGCGGAAGGCTGTGCTGTCCGTTCTCAGGGTTAAATACGGATACACAATCACTTAAACCAACTAAACACCTGAAAACCAAACGAACCGGATGGCTGAGAGCCACCAAGAACTTTCAGCGATTTCCAACCCAAACCGATCAAAAGGACACCTTAAAACCCACGGTAGAACCCACGCCTGCGCGGCCTCCGGAGACTGCAGGCGCGGCTCCAGGAACCTGGGTTTGCCGTTGTTTGACTGCTCCAAACCTGCCAAACAACTCCCGACTTCTGGGGGTTTAGTGGGGAACATGCACATTTTGCTCCAAACAGCTGGGCAAAGAGTCGTGTTTTCTTCTTCTTTTTGAGTTGGGCAACACACGGCTCCTTTAGGTCGAGTCTAGGGGAAACGTCACATGTTGCTTCCAAACTTCAAGGTCCAACTTTGATGGCAGGGGACGACTCATCCTCTGGCTCCACGAGGTTGTCCACCTCGTGTCTTGCCTTGCGATGAGCGGCGTGAAGGTTTACGCCTCTAGGCGAAGCACCCCATCCCTCCCAGCACAAACCCATGGAAACCATGTTTCCTCAGCGATAAAAAGCTTGCGCACAAGCACTTTCCGTGTTGGGAGGGCACATCAGTTTCCTTTCCAATAGTCCCCCTCTACACTTTCCTTCGCCAAGCCTTCGCATCCCTGAAAAGCGCGCATCCGTCGCATTAGGTGAAAAGGCCCAATGCCCCGCCCTGCCTTGTATGGCTGCTCGGAAGAGTTCAACAAGAAGAGCTCAGACACCGAGGATATCCGACCTGCAGGCAACTGGGAATGTGCGCCGCTCAATGTACTACGGCCCAATACATGGAACATATGTCCCTTCGCTCATACATCACTGGGTGATTGGCTATACGTACTTATTCAACAACCTCAAGCAAGAAACTTCCCAGAAAAGAACTCTGAAAAATCAAGTTCGAAGCTAACACAAGAATTGGACCCCCTTTTTTGAAAGTCGACCATGTGTAGCTTAGCCGAAACCGACCGCCAAGGGACGAGGGCGCCAGCAAACAAGCTGATTGACATGGACCCCAACAAGCCTCGAGGAATCTCCCCCCTTTTTAAAGGCCCTTTTTTGCTTCGCCCTGGCTCAGTTGCGCTATGTGTGAAAGGCGAGGGGGGGCCTCGAATTGGTGCTTTGATCCTTGTGGTTTCCCCTCAACACCGAGCAAAAGCGGGTACCTCCCCAAAACACAAACTCAAAAGCGAAACCATGCCATCTCATGCCCATCAGCAGCAGGCCTGCAGTGGGCAGCAGCCGCTCATCCCGGGTCTTCTTCAGGGAGTGGACCTCCGGGGTGGAAGCCGTGTGCTGCGCCACGGTGCGCAGGACCCGCGCCAAGTCCTGCGGAAGGACATGGATTGAAACCAGATGGACTTGTGTCTTTTTGACAGGGGGGTGGGGAATCTCTTTTCAGTATCTCTTTCAGTGGAAAAGGGAAACCAAAAGAACAACAAGAAGTTGGGGGTCCCCTCGAAAAGACACAAGGGTGCCTCACTTCCGATGTGGATTTTTGCTTGGCACTGAAAAAGTCTTCACAAAACGCATGAAGTTCAGGAACTCAGGAAGTGAGGTATGCTGGTTTTAGGGTTGGTTTTAAGGGGCCACCGACTTACCCCTCCCCTTTTACTTGAGCTACATTGCTACATCCAAAGCTATCATGCCGGTCCCAATGTCTGAGCTCGAGCTCGAGCAATTGTCTAGAGACGGGTAAGTTAGCAGTGAGGGACTGGCTCATGTTACTTAAGCCAGTGATGGCTTGTGGCAGTGAGCTGATAACTTACATACTTGTGATTGAAGTTTTGTTAACAGTTGACTGGGAATTGAGTTAACATGTAACAGAGAGTGAGCTTCAGTCAATTAACAGTGATTGCATGTTACTTGAACCTACTGTTCAAAGCCCCGCGGTTCAAATTTCGGCCGACGATAGCCAGCAGGAATGATAGCCAGCAGGAATGCTAGCCAAACACCCCTTGTGAATGCCATCAGGTCGGAGTGCATTGACCGCTACCATTCGCAGAAGTCGGGGGTCCCAAAAAAAAACTCCCCCTATCAAGCGTCTCGCCCCCCTGACCTATATGATACTTTCGGGTAAAAGGTGATCAGGCTTCCTTATACATTCATATTTCCACTTTTCAGCACCCCAAACGAAAACGCAAACACTACTGGCCCAGAAAGGTTGATTAAACCAGCTTAAAGGGGAAATACAAAGTTGATGTCACCCTGTTTCTCATGTTTCAAGGGTTGCCTGCAGTACGGGACACAACAAATCAAACCAGAACCATGGTTCGCTATGTTTCCCTTGTTTGCTGCCTGCGCACTGTCCTTGGCACCCACCATTTAACCGGGACACGTTGGGGAAACTCTCGCTTTTTGGACCGCTCCTCCGCTGCGCTGGTCACCGACACGCCACCGGTCTCCTCAGGGCCGGGGTTTCTGCGGCCCAAAGAAGTCTTCACCTCAAAACAGCTTGGAATCCCATATGTGACGTTTTATGTTTTTCTGTCCATACGGCTTGGGCCACACAAAACGACCATACGGGAAAAACGATCCAAATATGGGTTGTGTCCAAGAAAAAATGGCCATACGACTTTCCAGGAGCTTTATTCATAAATAACACTGTGAACTGTCAATTGAGTTTTCTGATACGTGGAGCAATTGCACTGCAGGATTCTTTGGGTTGTACGGTATAACATTGTGACGTTGATGGGTTTTGTGACTGGACATGCGCGTCGATTGGGGACCGAGGTTCTTGCTTAGCTGCACCTCCGGGATCACTTTTGCAATCCTTCACACATATCCTCACAAGGGGGTGAGGCAACATCGCTGGTTCAAAAGTGTCCAGCCGAAGATACAGCTGACAGTGGTTGCTCTCTGAAGCAATCTCCCCGAGGTAGTTCAGGTCCGCAAACACCCAACGACTCACTTTATGAGTGCATTGGCCCAAAAAAGTCCAAGTTTCTTGGTTTACGACTAGAATGACCTTCCCAGGTATAAGTCCATAAACTCAAGACTTTCAAGAAGTGAGAACCTGGGGGAGGGGCTCAGAGTTGGTACCCGTTTTGGGGGCTTAGACCGTCCAAACCCAGCGACGAAAGTCCGGGTCCGAAACGGAGCTCGAGACGTGTTACCCTCCCATCCACTGACATGAAACCTGACCGATAGGCCCTGGAAGGCTACTTTCCTTTAGAAGGGATCCTTACATTATACACCCGATTGCAACTTGTCAATGGTGGTTTCCCTTTATTTTGGTGGTGAAAAAGCCACACGTTTCAAATGGTTGCAAAATGGAGATCTTTTAAGGAGCCCTGCTTAAAAGGGAGCCTCTGTTGGGTTCCATGTTAGACAGGAGGGTAGACGACAGCTCCTCTGGTGGTCGCGCTGTCCGCCGGAAGCTCAGCAGTGTCTCCTCCTCCAATGTGAGGCGAGCGGTGTGGATCTGCGGGCGCTGGCGTCCAGAGAACGTGCCTGAGGTGCGGGTCGAGGTGGGTATGCGTGTTTCTTGGAGGAACACGACGCGGCGCTGGGTTTAAGGTTTATGTTTTTTTTTTTTTTATTATTAACAACATATCACGGTGTTCATCTCGATTGAAGATTACTTTTGGATGAGTTTCCGCTTGGTATCCTCAGTTCGGGTTCACCAGATTCGACCCTTTACCGCAAATTGACACTTTTGGCAGAATAGAAAAGCCAAGTCTTGCAGTGTGATGTTCGTTTGGTGTCCATTCCCGGCAAAATCGGTTTCCGCGCAAACGCGGACGCACCTATATAGCTCTCTGGCCATGGTTGTGCAACACGGCCTTCATACAACCACGCCTGCCATTTTGTGCGGCACCATCTTACCAACGGTTGTTGCTATCCTAAAAGGGGCGCCACACGGAAACTTGCCAACACATGTTGCAGATCTGAAAACATTCTGAGACATAATCATGTTAAGGGCGATCATTCACTTTCGAGGCAACTCGAAATAGGGTACCCATACAAAGTGTCTCATGTGAGTTCAGCTTTGGGAAAGAAATGTCAACGTTGAATGCATCAATTTGAAAGAACATGTTCATCAGGGGCGGTTCCCCTTGTAGCGGGGAAACAGTTCATTGTAGGAACATTGGCTTGCTCTCATGAGATTGGCCAAAAAGACAGCCAAGGCTGTTGTGCCACGAACATGCTATTCCCTAAAAGTGACTCAAGTCCAGACATGTTGGCAGTTTATCTGGGAGGTAGCTGAATGGTTCGTAACTCAGGGAGTGCGGGTTTCTTCCGGGAGATTGTAAATCTCAACCAAGCCTCGAGATTCTCACGGGTTCCCATGGTTGATGTCCCTTTTGTGGAAAAGGAAACGCACTTCCGGTCTGAGATTGCCACGGAAATGATCTCCGACTCAAGTCCAGAAACTGGGCAATATCTGTTCATGGGCTTGTCTCAAAAAAGGGGAACCCCAACAATTGGCGATCTGCCTTTGATCTCCCTCCGCACCAACCCCGAAAAGGGTACGAAAGCCACGAAAACCCATCCAAAAACAACCCCCCCACATCGGTGCGGAGGGATGAATTCTGGACGCCTTTCCTTCGGCTCCCTGGCACGGCAAATCCTCGCGGCAAATGTGCTGGCCCCTTTTTGCTTCTCCTCCATTTGCTCAAGTCCCTGGCGAAGAAAAAAACCACCATATTTCCAGTCGTGAAATCGATTCCTTTAAAAATCAACCAGAAAACGTAACAACAATACTCATTTCAGCAAGTGACAGAAAACATGGCCCCCTCACTGTGCAAAAACATGTTCCTCGCAAATGGATGTGTTTGTGGACTTTTCCCGCGCAAACACAAATGGCAAAAGGTCAAAACCCCCTACCCCCAGTGATCCCGTGAACATCCGATTCAATCCCCACTAACATCGCTTCTAAAATGCGTGGTGCACCTAAAGGGTACCATCGACGTGCACGGAATCCGTCCGCGGCGCGGGCGCTCTGCACCTTGAGCGCCTCCGTGGAGCCGCGGGCGCCTTCCACGCGCTGGGCGCAGCTGCCGCAGCGGAGCTCTAAGGACTGGAGCCGCGCGTCGATCTGGGCCACCTGGCGAGTGGGGCGGGGTGGGGGGGGGGGGTTGGGGGGGATGGGGCAGCATGGGGTGGGTGAAGCATGGGAACCGAAGACTAGGTCCTGGATTCATTAAATCATGGGGATGTAGATCTGGGCCACCTGCTGATCGAAGAGGCGGGGCCCAAATCTCACTTGTGGATTGGATCCCAAAAACGAGGCCAGAAACCCAACGTCGACTCTCATGAGTGGATTGGCCAATTTGTCTAAGCTTTGTATTTGCCACTGTGGTCCAAACACAAACAGTTGTTTTTTTTTCAGCCCATGAGATCAGGAAGTGAGAAATGGTGTGGGTGAAAAATTGGGTTACCCCATGGGGCACACCCTGAAAGGTGGAAAGGACTAAAACCTGCCAGCCCGTGGGTTCCTTTTGGCTTACAACAAAAAAGGTGCCGACTCAAAGCACAACGGCACCTGGGGCAGAGAGTCCAGGGAGCTCTGTGGTTTCCACCCCCATGAGCCTTGTTATTTCTCTAAAGTCCTAAAAGCCGTGAATGGAAGAATTTCTACGCCTGAGAAGTGCCTCTTTCCTAATAACCTCCAACCACCTCATCAAGGAACACGCAGGTGCAGCCATGCATGGGTGTTGAACAACATAAGGGTCCATTGAAGGAGCCTCAAAGGTTCTTGCCGCACATGAATGGAAACTGGAAGCCGGAACAAGGACATGGCTTGGCACGACTCCCGCATGCAAACAAAGGCTTGGCGCGCGCAGCTTTGGGCACTCGTGCGTACAGCTTCGGGACATGTTGTTGACATTTGTTGACACCGCTGCAAAAGCATTGGGCTTGGGCTGGACTAAGGAACCCCAAAGTAAAGAGCTTTTTGGTGAGCTCGTTTGGTGGAATCGATCGCCCTGTTCTCAGATTTAGCCAAAACATAGGGGTCGCGAGGGAATAGAAGTAGAAGCTGAAGTAGCGCGACTTACGACCCTCGAAATTTGTGGGGAAAAACAGTCTTCCCAGTCTAAAGAAGGTTGAGGCGAACCGCTCCCAAATAGCACGAACATTTGAAGCAACCAAGGGTTTTGCCTTCAGCTTCCAAATGAACATGTCCCATGGGTACAAACTACGATGGTTACTGGAAGCACTGAGGAAGGACCGTTTAATCACAGCAAGTTCATGCGGCCATCGTGTTGCGACAAGTGCCCACCTGGGCATCTAGGCGATCGAAGATCTCGTTGGACCTGCGCGAGAGCGTACGCCCAGCTCACTATTGTAGCAAAAATGACCAAACCTTTGGGTGAGGTCAGAAACCCCCTCATGAGGTCGCCAAGCACACAAAGAGATCCCAACCCTGCACCCCTCAACCACTTGCCCACAGGCAAGACCGCGGCTTGCAAAGAATGTGTCGTAGTTTGTGCTTGACCAACTGGCGCTTCTTCTCAGTCAATGAGACACGCGGAACCTGCTTCAGTGGTCTGACTGTTTTCCCGTCCCCACACTCGAGCCAACCTTTGCGGAACTTGAGATTCAACCTTCGCCCTTGATAACTTTGCCTCCTGCTCTTGCCAGAAGCACCTGAAAAGAAAGGACGCCCTCTCGACTAAAATGAGCTTAACGCTGGAATCCAAAAGGTCTGGCTTCGCTGTTGCCAAGCAAGATGCTGCGTTGCAGCGCGTTGCCCTTCGATTTGAACACATGTTGCGGAAGGGTTTGCCGTGAAGGCCACCTGGCCAACGATGAAAAGTATACCAGGAAAGGTGCCCAGCTGACTTCCTGACAGCCTCCCTTCAAACTGCTTCGGACCACTCCGCAGCTTTGAGCAAAGAGCCCCCATAGCTTTCAAATGCGGAATAAAGAGCAGAGGGTCCAAAGGCCATTCTTGCATCAACTGAGAAACCCAAGTTTATGTGTCACTAGATGCCTAGATGCCTACAAAGCAGTGAAAGTCCCTTATTTCCCTCCAAAAAATGTGACACTGAGCAAACAAGGAAGCAATTTGTCCACATCATTCTTCCCCCTTTCCTCCCCTAACCCGCCCACCCTTGTTTCTACCATCATTATATGAGTGTGGGTCAAAATTAAACCACCAGGGGACCGCAGATTTTAGTCCTTGGTTCCATTTACCAGGCTTCTATGTTGGGTACCCATTTTTGACCCAGAGCTATATTGAGGGGTTATGGGGCCCTTATGGGGGGTGGGGATTTGTTGACTTCCCGGGTCCCAGACCCCAGATCCCATCTCCGAGTCCCGCCTCTGGTTGAGGTTCTCCACCACCGCCAGCACCCCGTGCATGGCACCCGTGGCTCGACCCCACAGGGTCTTGAGCCGATGGAAATCCAGTGGAGAACCGTTGTCCGCATGTTGGTCTGAGTCTAGGTATATGTTTCAATGAGAAAATGTGCTTGTGTGCGTAGGGACCTATATGCACATGTCCGTATGTATGTAATGCACATCTTGCACTCTCTTTCTCTGTCTTTTTTTCTTTTGTTCTTTCTTTCTTTCATTATGCTTGTGTTTGTTCTTATTTATGTCCCTTTCTTTCTTTCTTTCCTTCTTTCCTTCTTTCTCTCGCTCCCTCTCCCTCTCCCTGTCTGTGAAAACGCGTGTATTTGGATATGTGGGCAGGCATGGGCGAGTAATTAGGTTGCGTCAAGTACTGCCCATCGGTGTCTGTGTGTGTGTACGTGTGCATCTGGGTATGTCACCATGTGGGAACCTCAGCACGCATATTGGTGCATATCGGTGCAGAAGTCTGCGCGTGCGTGCGTGCATGCGCGTACGAGTGCCCGTGGATAAGTGCGAATGTACATGTGCGGAAAAAAAGAGTATGTTTGTGCATGTTGGCGCAAAAGTTGAGTTGGCCTGATGCTTCTGTATGCGCATTGGTGTACGTATGAATATAGGAATGATGCTGAGCACCCGGTGGTCTAGCTGCTTCGTATCAAGCGTCGAAATGTTACTGGTCAATTGATACTGGCATCAAATGTTTCCGAACTGATTCGATTCAAACACACAACTGTGCTTGATGGTTTGCGTAGGAGGTATTTATTCAATCACTTATCGAACGCATGATTTGCGAATGTAAAGGCAATTGAAACACAGCGTGTGTGTGTGTGTAAGTCAACGCATGGGTATGATGCTTAAACATTGGAAGGGTGTAAATGCCAAGCTGATGACTCTGAACAGCAATAAGTTTGGACCCTTATTGTATTTTCTGTCAGCACCGAAACTCCTTGACAGTAGGTGCCGCCAAAATGGCTATCCTCTCATTCCGCAATCATGGAAGCGGAAAAGGGGCCTCAGTCTTCCAAAATCTGTCTGTCCGCTTCCATGGTTGTTGGGAGGGAAAAGGCAAATTGGAAACACGCAGCAGGGCCAGAGATCCTGTTGACCTCCCCAAGCTGCCCACGGGTTGCCCGAACGAAGAGGTGGGCTCCACTGAAGTTTCCCTGAAAGCAACCCACAGGGTATCTGAAACACGAGATCCGAAATGCCAAACCAAACCAAACCGCTTGTGGCCAGATCTGGTGCCCTGAGCCCTCTGTCGAATCGGTGGCAAATGGCAAGGCGCAATGACATCAGCACAATTGCCTATGCAAAGTCTTTAGAGGGCTTCGCAGCATCCCAGGCGACCAAGCAACCAACCCTGAGCAAGTAAGTAACCCTTCTTTGGAAGTTTTGAGGGGGATAGGCGGATTCTATCTCCGTGCTCTTCACTCATCACTCTTTTGGGAGCCAGCGTCCAACAGCTTCCAAGTCCGACTCTGCCTTCAGCTTGGCGTTCAGCGTCACTGAAGGCGACACCTGCAAACGAGGGGAAACAACTGCGTGCTTTTACTGAAGGTTTGTTTGCCCGAACCATTCCCTTTTGTTGGGTACGTGTACCTGGCATAGGGAATAGGCGGAACAAGGAGTATAAGTGGCCTGTGGCGTACGTAAACCAGGGTGATTATACAAGTTCAGGGCAAAAGTTGGAAACAAAGAGGTGTAAAAGGCGAAAGTGACATTTGCTTATGAATTGAAACCGGTCCACAAAGTGCACACGGGGTGCATTTGAATCCGGCACTAGGTCAAACCAGTCAGCGATATCTGTGTCCAAGTTGGATTGACTGCCTTGCAACACTTGGGCTAGGTGTGCTTGCGGTAGGAGGGTTCTTCGGCTTAGCTTGACAGTTGGTGTTGTGGCGTTTCTTTTGGAGTTCCCTCCTTTGTTGGTCTTGGGATATTGCTCAATCGGAGTTTTGCTCATCACCTGTATAGGGCTTGCGATCACCTTCATGGGTCGGCATCCGGAGTCGAACGTGCGTTTTATATACTTGGGGCACGAATTCCAAGAAAGCGTGCTTGAACTCTCATGTCCAAACATGTCCTAAACTCAAACAATGCATTCTGTTTAATAACTCTCTGTTGTTTGGTCCATTTCAAAAGGGAATCTGGTCAGGGGTGGGGGGGTACGGGGTACCAGGGTTTGACCCACAGCCATATTTTGGTAGAAACCAATAATGGCCGATTTGCCAACCCCCGAACACTAGAAGCTGCCCCCAGCACCAGAACAAGATAAAACATATGTCATGTGCGATCTCCTCAGGAAGACTGCACTTCCTCTTCCATGTGCCTTGCGTGCACCACCCAACAAAGCCATCACAGCCATTTCCTCTCAGAAATACGGGGAACGACACCAAGCAAATGAAAGGAATATATTTTCTTGTTCATCCAAAGTCTGTGGGTTGGGTGAACCCGCCGCTTGCAAGAAGTTGAGCCGCTTTTCCTACTTGGACAGTAGAAGCCCTGGAGATCAACTTACACAAAGGGCATCCCTTCTTGATTTGTAGTTGCAACGGCTGGATGTATGCACCTGCGTTGCATGTGTTTAGCTGATGAGAGTCTGGCCACGGTTCAGCCATGGATTCATATTCTGCTCATGTAAGGCCGCCTTGCGCATTTCTCTTGCCCTCGATGCTTTTCAGGCTAAGCTACCCAGTGTCGCAGCTCTGGTGGCATCTGACTGCAACCCTCAAAGGATTGGGGCCTAGTTCTGCACAACAGGGTAGTGACCGTGGTGAATAAGACCCCTCAGTAGCAATTACCATACGTGACGTCATAAGATCAGTTGATTACAATCGTTTCGATCTCTGTCAAGGCAAGAATAGATAATCTGATTATCTAGACAATGCAAATGTGATAAGACAAGCATCATCGTCTTGCCCTAATCTATTCAACACATGAGCCCAGTTAGAGTGTTCCGAGACCCTTTTCAGTCCCGAAAACCTTTCGGGCTTCCGGGTTGGAACTTTTTGCAATCAAACTTCAGTTTGACAGGGGGTCCCACTGTGATTAACTCCCCTCCCCAGTTGGAAAGAAGGGCTTACTCAGCGCGCTTGTTTCAGGAACATCAAACTGGTCGGCTTCCTTCTGGCCTCCATTAAGCCACAATCCAGAAGGGGCCCCCTGTGTTGAGACAGAACAACTAATTCTTGGCTCAGAACTCTGGCACAAGCAAAGCCTTCTGAATAGTTGGCCAAACAAAGTCCAAACTTTCTGTTTACCATCTAACCTGCTCCAAACCCAAAAATGGCTCAAGTCCAGGAACACGGGGAGTGAGTCTAAAGAAAAAACGGATGCCGCAGCTGGGGTCGCTGTCAAGCCCCGGGGTTTTGATTCCGCGCCTCAAGCACCGCCCCACGCTTCCGCGTCTGGGCCTCGGCTTTCCCTGTGGCTTCCTTTTGGCACACGCTATCAACGTCACCACTACGTCACCCCGTTCATTGGCAAGTCAAAGGGAAACCAAAGATGCTCTGGCTTTGAGAGCCAGAATGATGACCCCAGTTTAGCTTTCATCTAAACCAGAGGGTACCCTCACAATATCTCACCGGGGTTGCTTTGCGGATTGATAAGCGAGGGTGCACAGGATGATTGCTGCAAGTGAGGGAACTTACGCACTTCCAGGGTTGGGCCGAAGCCTTGAAACATGTTCACTGTAGCCACGGGTCCCTGGCCCGCTGAAGAAGCCAACGCCCGTTTGCCAGATGAATGAATTGGGACCCACCCTGTGGTTGAAGCGTGGCCAAGTTGCTGACCATGTGTTTTGGATTCAGGAGCAGGGCCCAGGGGTTTGGGCATTAAAGACCCCAAGCTCAGGACATCTTGGGTGCAGAGCAACGTACAAGGGACCCTCCAAGGAAACCACCTCCAAGTTGGAACCCCTAAAATGCCCGCTCTAAGGGACCCAAATCCAAGGCAACCTGCTATGTTTTGCTTGAGGGTGGGGTCACCTACTTCAATCACCCAAGTGTTGGGACCTGGCAAGCAGCAGCTTGCCACCAGTCAAAGCTCACTGCATTTCATTCGTAACATTGCAGCATTTTGAGGGAAACTCCCTGTTGAACGGCCATGAAATGCACCCGCACATTTCACAATTCAAGCAAACACCGTTTGACCGGCCATGGAACTCCAATGTTTGATCCTTCCAACTGCAGAAAATGGAAGCTTGACACACTATTCCTCTTGTGGCCCTGAAAGGAGTTGCGTGTGAAAAAAATGGCCCTGCATGCCGCAAACCTCCTGTAACGAGGGTTGCTAGGCCTTTGGCAACCCCCCAAAACCATGTAAGTACCCAAGCTGCCCCCAAATTGTCAAGGGCCAAACAGGTCCCTCAAGAATCAGTCCCTGGAATCAGCCAGCCACTTCCAGGCATGGAGCTGTTGCCTTCGACCAAAACATGCTGTGATATGCTGTGCTTTGGATTCAGCGAACCTTTCCAGAATCCCTGTTGCTCTTGGCGTTGATTCCCCCTTCTTTTCAGCCATCGTTCTTTTCAAAAACCAGCCATTTCTCCAGGGTTCTGGGTGGTTTCCTAGAAAGAAGGATGCCTGGAAAGAATGGGGAAGTTACCCCTGGAGTTGCCCCGACCTCCCCGGCAGAAGCGTAGCGCTTATTCCTCACAAGGCGGGGCAAACGAAACGAAGCGGCACGATGTTCGGGGCCCGTGAGGTTTGGCCATCGGAGCAAGCCGGGTGCCTCGAGGCAAACCTACAAGATCATGGACCTCGAAAGAGCAACTAGCCAAAGAAACAGTTCAAAGCGTCACCTGCAAAAACAGGCGGGCAACCCCACCATGGAAAAACCCGCCATGTTTGGCGGAACAACTCCTTTTCGGCCCCCCCCCCGTTTGGGTTCCATGTATATGTGTAGCCGTCAAAGTGGGTCAAAGGTGCCTGTGGCGCCGTGCATTGATCACGCCGCCCGGGGGCGTGCCTGCGGAGAAAACGTCGATGAACGGACTCAGAAATGGCTGAAGAACTCGCTGATTCTCAGTTGCTCGTTAGG